AATTTTCAAATGGCTCCAGGAGGGAGCTCTAGGAAGGCAATGCACATATAATGTTCCTGATCCCTTAACTCTAGGTAATGAGCAGGCTGTGGAGTCAATCTTCCATCTCCTCTCTAGCATGAATTCTCCTTGCCCTTTCCCAGCAAGTCTTGACTATGGTTACAGGTTCCATCTGCACAAGACTTCACCATGGATTTAAAAAAATTAAGTTTTGTTTTTATGCTGCTTTTCTACCTAGCAGGGACTCAGACATGAAATACAAAAATATAATTTAAATAAACAGGAGAAAAGAAAGAATACAATATACTCTACATCCAGGGTTTCTCCTGGATCCTCTGGGACAGCGTACTCAGAGTCATACTATCTGAGCCATGAGCTAAGGCTGAACGCTATTTTACTCTGGCCCCTGGGCTTTGGTTCTGCCTCTGGGCATGCTCAGGCTTAAATACATATAATAGGAAGGGAAAAAGCTCAGCCCAGGTCTTGTTTAGCTGGTAGATGTTTCCCAGGATTTCCCTCTCTTGCTTTGTTGAGGGATTATATGCCTTAAATGCAGCAAACAGTTAAAGTATGTCTAATATCGCTGCACTGTGTTCTGTGTTACAAATTTTTTGTGTTGAATTGGTTAAAATTGCACTATGATTAGAGATTTTCTGCATGTAAATCTCAGGTCCAAGTTTTCTTATCGATGAAACAGTAAGATTGTTATATGTTAAAGATACTGTGGCTCCGGTCACACGGGCAGGAAACTGCGGAGGGGAAGCGGGCTGTTTGCCCCGGGGCAAACTAACGCGCAGTTAAGTGATCAGACCTCCTGTGGAGGTTCTGTGGAGGTACCGTGGAGGTTCTGTGGGAAGGGAGAGGTGCTGATCACAGGACACGCCTGCGCGCAACGAAGAAGCGCGCGGTCCGGCAAACTGGTTTTCTTTTTTGTGTACACGACGAATGCACATGCTCCGTTGGGTGCGTGTGCGCATCCATGGAGACTTAGAAAAAAACAACATCTTTTTCGCAAGGGGACATGGGCGGGCGCCGGATGCCACCGGAAACGCGATCAGACGCCCGCCCTTGCCCTGCAGTTTCCGGAAACTAGTACCTCCGAGGTACTAGTTTTTTGCTGTGTGTTTTCGGCGGGAAGCCTTGGTTGTGCCACAGAAGTGCTACGCTTCCCAGATGTGCCAGTGAGATCGCGCCCGGAAACTCCGCCTGTCTTCCGTCTCTCTTGCATGGCTAATGTTCCGTGTGACCGCAGCCTGTGTTGGGTTTAAAGACTGTCCTGTGGTAATTGATACATTTCCTCCTCTATCAAATAGTGAAGTGGAGTCTTGGATTCAGACCATCCAAACCCACACTAAAAGGTGTAAAATTAAGTATAATTGACTTTGAAGAGTATTCCAAAAAAATAAACTTGCTAAACCAGAAGGGTGCTGAGACACTCTTCTGAGCCCAATGGTAAACTCTGTGTAGAGTTTCTGTGGTTTCCTTAAAATATAGAAATGTAGTAAATTTTGAAAACATGGAATTTGGAGAGGTCTGAGCTTCTGATAGCATTCCTTTGAACCTCCAAGGTAACACACCTTTCAATTACGTTAAGTCGTACATCCACTCACCAAGCCACTATTGCTTCGTTTTGAGTGTTCAGTTTATGATTATGTCCAGGCTCTTGAAAGAAATATTGGAACCCAGGGATGGCTACATTCATGGCACCACTCTGTTGACGCTGTAGGAAGGAAACATAATAGAATGAATTCCTGCTTGCCAGGTCAAGCCCTGTGAATAGACAGCCCACCAAGAAAGACGTGAGTTGAGGGGTTTCCCTTCATGTCTTGACCATCTTCCCTACTCCCTACCAGCAAGGTTTCTGGTTGTCCACTCACATTCAGGGCCTGCCACTGCAACTGATCTCTGCTAAGTATTTAATCTCTCACACGGTTACAGCACTGAGTTTCAAATCTCCTGTCTTCTGTTCTTCATCATACAGTAGTGTTATGAAGGGGAAAAGTAAGTTTCAGTGAAAAAAGATTTTTGCACTAAGTAGTTAAACACCAATATCTATTCTCTTGATAAAAGTTAACTGATTTCCATAATATGAATATTGATTGTGTTTTTGCCAGTATCAACTGTGGAGACTAAATATTATCCAGGTTTTTGAAGATGTGCATTGCAGAAAGTTGTGAACCTCCAGACTAACAATCATAATTAGTTTATGGGCTTCTTGAAAACAGTCTAGAGGGATTATTCCTGGATCCAGAAATCCCCCCAACTCCATGTGGATGTTTTGATGCTGTTCCTAGCCACATGAATTTGACTCTTCTGAATTCTTTCATGCAACAACCATCACAAAAATTATTGTAGAAACCTTCATAAATCAGGAATCACAAGAAGAAAAAAGTGGTCTGCTTTGACTGATTGCCAATTCCAAAATACACTTTTTCCTTCACGAATGGAATGACATTCCTTCACGAATGGCAGACATAATTTCAGAACATAAAGTTTTGATAGATTTTGCAAGAATTATCTGCCTGCAAGTAAGATGAAATTCCTGCTTGTAGATGAATGCACATTGATTTTGCATTTCAACATTTTGAAATGCAAAAATCTCTTTGCATTTTCATAGGGATTTCTTGATAAAGGAAAATTTTCATCATATTGCCACCTAATTTCCTATAACACCTTTCTTTGTGGCAGCGAGGGAAAATTAGAGTTCTTTTTGTGATGAACTCTTCACCCTGTTTTCTGGGCCCAAACCAAAACACAGATGATCCAAGTAAATACTGGGGGTGGGGGGGGGGGGGGGTTGCAGTTTTTAAAACAGTATCCATTTATCCTAGTTCAGCATGTATCCATTCTTGTTGTCCAGTGTAGAATGCAAATCACAGCAAAAAAAAGTCAGCAACTTTTCTGTCTTCACCAGTCAAGTGGCTACCATGAATATGTTAAGATGTGGTACAAGTAGGGTCAGCATTCTCCAATTGGGGGCAGGGGATCCCCCAGTTTTGCAGCCTCTTGCCCACTGCCAACCAGCTGGCCATCTGGTGGAAATTCCCCCCAAAAAACCAAGAACATTGGCGGAAATAAATGTGATGTTACCACATCACCCGGAAGTGATGTAGGCATGTTGGTGATGTGGAGGGGGGAATGCTCTGGTTCTTGGGAAAACTCTATGGTTTGAGGCTGATTTTACCATAGAGTTTTGCCCAAAAACCAGAGTGTAGCTACCAACGTCACCGACATGGCTACGTCACTTCTGGGTGACGTAGCCACATCATACAAGTCACTTCCCTCTCCTGGAATGTCCCCCCATCCCCAGCTGGCATTTCTGATGGACCTGACAACCCTTCGGTACAAGAGGAGACTGTAGTCCTGGTGTTTCCATAGTTGTGATGGTTAACTCTTGATATGGCTGTTTTTAATTTTTTTATTTTTGCCATCAAGTCACAGCCAACTTATGGCAACCCTGTAGAGTTTTCAAAGCAAGAGATACTCAGAGGTGGTTTGCCATTTCCTGCCTCTGCATAGTGACCCTGGTATTCCTTGGCATCTCCCATCCAATACTTACCAGGGCTGACCCTGCTTACCTTCTGAGATCAGGCTAGCCAGGTCAGGGCAATTGTGGCAACTTTTCCTAGTAACAGTGACCATAACAATAGTAGGTAGCTGTGTTTGTAAATGGTTGTCTCACAGATTTCATTTCTCCATTAAAGTTTATTTAAGTACTACTTTCTCCCAGTGTGGATACTCACAGCAGCTCACAAAACAAAATACAGTTTAAATAAAGATGTACAACCTAACAACCTACAAGCCTCAATATACACTTGAAGCATCTGATAAGCCCCAAGGTCATCTGGTTCTGCCACCGAGATTCTCACAAGTTCGTAGCTGTAGGCTACATGCTAAGAACCAGAGGATCAAGAGCCCCTTGGTTCTTACCCTTTGTTTTGCACCTCCAGCCACACCCAGGTTTTAAATTACCTGTAGAAAGGGAAGAACAAATGTTCAGCTTAGGTCTTATTCAGCTGGTTTCTGTGTTCTCGCTTTTCTCCCCTCCAGAAATATTCATGCAATTAACAGGTATTGTGTGACCCATTCCTAAAACCCAGGTTTTCTGCTTTCTGTTTCCCTTACATTTTCCTTTGTGTCTCTATGGCAGGGTAGTTTGCTTCCTTATATTTTCTTCATGCATCTTCCAGAGCTCAAGATTTTATACTTCATACTTGTGGCTCATTCTTTGTAAGCAATTCATGTACTTGGGATCATCATCCTGCCAACACTTTGAAGAGCCATTGGTGTTTGAGTTTCTGTTTGTTTGTTTGTTTTGTTTTGTTTGAGGGCTTTTTCCCCAATTAGGATCCTGAAGAAAGAATGAAAGGAAGTCCATTTAAATTGCTGCCATTTCTCCTTCTAAATGATGTCATGAATTCATCAGATTCAGACTAGGGTTGGCTTCAACACTGACATAAGGGCAGGGGTTGGGAGGCAGAAGGTGGAAGGGGAGAGCAGCAGAAATACTGTGTGTTTTCCTGACTGGTAATGTATCCATCTTTTGTTTCATATCCATGCTATGCTACTATACATCCAGACTACAGACCACAACCGTGTATGTATACTATTGAGCATGTAATTTCCCACTCTGTTTTCTAGAAGCTTACTCATACATAATCAATGTAAAGTCATCCTCGGGGGTGGGGGGGAGTTTTTCTCTGCTTTTATTGTCCCCTTATTTCAACAGCTGCAAAATGCACATAAATATCACTGAACTATATATACATTTGTGTATATGCTAAAAAAAATTAAAATAGCTTAGGGTCAACTTTCATTATAGGAAGTTGACTTTATCAATTTAATATCTAGATCTACTTTAAATTGTGACCATGTTTACAATGAATTTTCAAATAAAATAATGAACATGTGTATGCATGTTTATGTATATATATGTGTGTGTAAACAAAAAAACACCTTTAACACTGGAAGTTAGAACCCTTGATCTCTTTCTCTTGCAGAAACCAGGGATGGATCTAGCAGATACTTATATAATGTTTGTTCGTCAAAACCAAGATATACTTCGTGATAAGATCAATGAAGAAATTTACATTGAAAGATTGTTTGATGTAAGTAGCTGCCTCTATTAGGATTACAGCTTGATGCATCTCAATATTTTGAGCTACTCTTTCACATTTCAGTTGCCTATTGAGATGCTTGTTCTGTTGGTTGGTTTGTGATTTTTAATTTACCATTGATGCTTCCCACCCAAAAACTGCAGTTGTAGGAGGCCAAATTAATGAACAGGGCTTGTCATTCTAACATTACTTTTCTTTCCCTTATCTTGAAATGAGATGCCAGGAAGTTTATGGAGTCCAGGAGTCTCCCTAAATCTGAAATGTTGCTTTTCCTTTTAATATATAAATACTGCAGAATACCCTAAGATGCAAGCAAAGGATTCCATTTTGGTCTGATTCCAGTCAGCTATAAAGAAAGAGCCAGAGTCACCAATCAGCAGTTTGGCTTGAGTGAGGAAACACCACCCTCAGCTGTCAACATCTAGTTCCAAGCAATGTTCCCTCTAATTCCCTCCCCCCCATGGAGCAGAGTAGTTCACATCCTGAGCATAATATAACTGCTATAATCTTAAAATGGACAAAGGGCAGTACAAGACCTTGTGTGGCTCCAGATTGCTGCTGAGCGGGGCTTCCTGTGTTAATAAGCGGCTGCTTACACACACACACTGGTGGCAAGCACTTACTCATCACAGGAGCTTTCAGTCAGATGTCAGCTGCACGTTTCTTGCTCGGAACTTAGTTCTGAAGCATGTGGGGCCCTGATTCATATTGGGACCGTGGTGCCTTCTCCCCATGATGGGCACTTTTGTGTACTGTTCTACATAACTTCTTCAACCACTTATTCCAGCTGTAATCTCTAAATTATCATTACCACTACTTCAAGTTTTAGTTGGGTCCAGGGGTCTTTTGGGGACGGAGGGCACTGGAGCGCTGTTCCGGCAGCCCAGGAGCAAATGGTGGCGCAGCAAGCCCCACCCCCAGTTCCCCGCGCCAAAGCGCTGGGGCCGAGGACAGGCCCGGAGAGCCTCGGAGCTGGGTCCCCTGGGCCCACACAGAAGCGCTGGGGCTGGGGGAAGCCCGGAGAGCCTCGCAGCCAGGTCCTCCAGGCCCGCGCAGAAGCGCTGGGGCCAGGGGGAAGCCCGGAGAGCACCGCAGCCAAATCCCCCAAGCCCGCACAGAAGCGCTGGGGCCGGGGGAAAGCCCAGAGAGCCCCACAGCCGGGTCCCCTGGGCCCGCGCAGATGTGCTGGGGCCGGGGGAAGCCCGGAGAGCCCCGCAGCCGGGGGGCCCGGGCCTGCGCAGAAGCGCTGGGGCTGGGGAAAGCCCAGAGAGCCCCGCAGCCGGGGGCCCTGGGCCCACGCAGAAGCGCTGGGGTCAGGGGGAAGCCTGAAGAGCCCTCCTCTCCCTCCTTCTCCCCTTCTCTCTCTCTCTCTCTCTTTCTTTCTTTCTTTCTTTCTTTCTTTCCCGCCTTCTTCCCTTCTCTTTTTTCCTCCTTTCCTTTTTTTCCTCCTTCACTTCTCTCTCTTTCTTTCCCTCCTTCTTTCCTTCTCTTTCTTTCCCTCCTTCTTTCCTTCTTGCCTTCTCTCTAGTCTCTCTCTAGTCTGGCCCAACTCTAGTGAGAAGGGATTTAAACTTTAAACCCCTTCTCTCTTCGTCCCCCCCCCCGCAGACCAGCTGGGGAAGGGAAGGGGAGGCTTTTGAAGATGCCTCCCCCCCTTTTGCTTCCCCTTCTGACATCATTTCCGGTGATGTCAGGGGGTGTGGCATATGCTAATAAGCTCCTGCAGCTCTTTTTCTACAAAAAGACCCCTGGTTGGGTCTAAACATATTCCACCAGCTGTTCTATTTGTGTGTTCTGGTAAATAATCACATCCCACTCCAATGGAGCAGTATGTTCAAAGAATGCCCAAATTCATCTCACAAGCCCTTCTGTGAGACATCCAGTTGACATTCAGACAAAGTGTAACTTCTTATAAGGTCCAAATTCAGATGCCCTAATAAATCAGATGTTTGTTGCCTATGAAGTGTTATTCTAAACCGCAAAAATTGGGGTTAGATGTGAAGTCTTCTTAAAATGAGAATTCTCCAGTCTCTGTACAGCACATAAGAGAAGGAAAGAGGAAGTATGTACGCCCAGGGATTTCTGGCTAGACCACGTTATATCCAAACTGTGTTTTGTTTGTGACATCTAAATACAGACCCTGCTGGTTTACTAGTCCATTCCAGAAGCCAATCTGAACCCCCTTGTTATTTGCCACGAAGTGTATTTATTTATGTTCCATTGCCACAGCATTTTAGAAAGCTTTTTTTCCTGGCACTTTCCTTTAATTATGCAAGTTACCACAAATGTTTTCATAACAGCAATTCACAGCCTTTGCTGTGACACTTTGCTCATGGCAGTCGCAGAAGGTCTTGCCGCACAATCGTCTCCGCCATGGATATGTCATGTCAGTGTTGGTTGTTTGCTGTCTTGGCTGCATGAAATGAGCCTTGTCGCTCAAGCACCCTAGTTGGAGAGACTGCCAGACAGCTCTAAAATAAAAGTATCATCTGTTTTAATAAGCAAAGTGTTAATATGTGTGAAAAGAATAATTTTTTTGTGCAAAAGCTTTGATGCCTTGCAGGGGTATAAAAACTACCAATCCCTCCAGCTGGCATTTCTACAAAGCACTAGAACCATATTAGCAACATCTCTGTCAGTTTGGTGTTGTGCTGGATCTGCAAGCATATGGTTCATTTCCATCCCTCCTCCTTTCCAGCATTGTAGCTTAAAAAAAAGAAAAAGAAACTAAAACTCATGTACAAGTTGACATTTAATAGAGATGCTGAAGCAGGAAGTTTTCTACATATTTCATGGATGTTTGGCCAGACCATTAGGCCTTGTATCTACTGGGAGCTGAAAATAATAATAATAAGAAGAATAACAACAACAATAATAATTGTGTATCATCAAGTCAGAATTGACTCACGACAGCCCAAGGCAAGGGAGGAGCACAGTGTACTGGTGCAGCCCTCCCAGGAGACAGGGGCTGGGGTTCAGTAGGGCAAGTCATGGGCCAGGGTGCAGATAGGAACCAGGGGCCAGTCTAGAAGTTAGGGGTTCCGGAGAGCAGGTATGCCAAGTCCAGTCAAGGGATTCAGGGAGCAAATCCAAATCCAGTCCAGGGGCAGCGGTTCCAGAAAAGCCAATAGTCAGATCCGGTTCAAGGTTCCAGCAGTCCGGTAACAGCAAGGTCAGTGGTTCAGCATCAATGTGTACATCTTGCATCTATGAAACTGCTATTTCTCCTGGCTGATTTTATAGCCAAGTCTTAACAAGCTACACTCCCAGCCAATTCATTGGCAGTCATCCTGAAACTACTCATCCATCTCCTCAGTTGACAGCTGACAACAGGCCATGAGTCTCGCACTCCTCCTTTCTTGCAACTCAGCTTGCCTCTGACAGCGTCAGTGCTGCAGGGGTGCGGGTGAGCTAGATGTACTAGGAGAGGCTTCTGAAGCCTTGTTTACTGCTTCAGAGCTACAAGGTATTGGCTCAGTTTCAGCTGTAGGCTGTAACCTGATCTTTTGTTGCTTTCCTCCTGGCTCAGACCCAGCTGCAGCCGGTTGTTCAATTATTTATTTATTTTAAGCATTTTTACCCCGCCCTCCCCGCGAGCGGGCTTAGGGTGGCTTACTAAGGGCCAGCTGCAGGTACCTATTTGTCTCTGGAATCTGTGCCCTTGTCTTCCTCTGCATAGCAATTCAGTCTTCCTTTGTGGTCTCCCATCCAAGTACTGTTTAATTTCTGAGCTCTGACAAGATCAGGCAAGACTGGGCTATTAGGCTACTATAGGAGCTGAATCTATAATCTTATCCTGCGTGTGTGGTTTTTAAAGCACAAAGTTCCCGGTTGCCTTTGTATGCTGTTCAGTTATTGGACAGCAGCTGTTGATGTTGTCTATAAAGTATGTGCCTAAGTATGTCATTGAATCTACCTCAATACTTCTCTAGTACTTCTGGTTTCTACTGTTATGGAGCTCAGTCAAGCATTTGGTCAGAGAAGTTAGTTCTTCTATCTGTGCAGTGCCTTTTTTATATGTTGAATGCTGGTGTTTAGTTTTTACATTAGTAGAGCACTTGCTGCAAATATCAGCAAAACCTAATGAAAAATTATTGCAGTAATGAGATATCTATAGATGAATGAGAGTAGATAAGGGCAAAGCACCATTAGCATGAACAATGTAAGATACTGGGCATAGTCCAAATTGTGAGACTGTGTAAACTGTGGTCAAGTCACACACTGTGATTTCAGGTGATGCTAGCCACGACACAAACCCACAGTTGCTATCTACAAACTGTGATGGTATATAAGTTGCATTTATGCTTGCTGAATTTCTGCAGGAGTAAATGGGGCTAATCCAGAAAACGTACAAGTTCAGTTGCCTGGCTTTTACGTACAAACATTTGCTATATTTATAATAGGACAACAAGTAAATACATTTAAGTTAAGTACAAAACAACACTTAGGGCTGCAATAGTCACCTTGTTGCGAATAACAAAACATGGATAATAGGGGGGGGGGGGGGGGGCGCCTGACCTGATCCCTGCACATGTCTTATTGTGGTATTGGTTTATCTAGGGGTAAATGTCTCTAACTTCCTGCACAGGGTGGAAGTGGGCTTCTTGGATCCTTCCAACAGCCCTGTAATTAATTATAACTCTGTGGACTTTCCACCCTAGAAGAGGTCTCTTCCTATTCAAGTTAATTTCCATTTGGTACTTTTTTTTTGTTACTCAAGAATTCCTGTACACCTGTTACTCAGACTGCACTCCCTACAGCAGCTTTGTTGCAGTGTAATAGGCATTAAATTATTTGCATAACTGGATGAGTGGCCATAGAGCAGCCCTTCATTTGCATAGAGAAGAATCAGGGCCAGAAGAGTTCAAACTACCTGTCTATTGACACCTCGGTCTGTTGCAATTACACAGAAAGCAGGTAGCGGTTCAATTTTCAGAGTAAATAAGGTGCCTAGTTTTCCCTTCCTCACATCTTACTTTCCTACCCTCTAT